TAATTTTCACTAATTTTCAGCACAGTGAAGGAGGTTTAATTTTTCCGTCCAACCTGGAGTCATCAGCTTTAGACAGAAGTTTCTAACCAGTATTATTTGGGCCTGCTTTTCAAGACACACAGCCATTTGGGGTGATTTCCATGGGAATTATGATTGGGGAGAAAAGAGTTAAAACTCATGCACACACTCACACTCAAGCACATACACACACACACTGTAGTCTCAGTCCATATCAGCCCATCTCCTGCCCCAATCTATTAAAAGTTTAATTCAAACATTGTTTCTAGTTATGTATTCAGTATTACTCACATTTAAGTTTGGCCTAATGCAGGAATGGGAATCATCAATTTGTTTCCAAGATAATAGCATTAGCCTCATCTGTTGGATATGATTTCCAGCATTCATTGTGTCCATACAGTATCACAATAGTTTGTGATCTGTTCATTCTCAGATGAAATGTTTACTAGGTCAGTGACATTAATATCTGATGGAGAAGTCACTGCTTTGCTTTCCTAAAACATGCTGGGTGGGAATTGGGGAAGGAATGAAAAACTGCACTTAAAATGTAGGTTTGACACCTGTTGGTTGGTTGGTTGTCTACTATCTTCCCCTCTCTCACAAAAAAAACCTTTTGTACTATTTTGCACAAAAGTAGGAGCTTGGGAAAGTTACTTTTTTTGCACCACAGCTCTCAGAATCTCCCAACTAATATGGACATGCTAATATGCGGGTTATGGGAATATTAAAAAAAAAAAAAAAAACTTTTCCAGGCTCCAATAAAAACACAATGTAACACAAAAAAATTATTGAAATAATAATTATATGGACTGAGATGAGCAGTAAAATATATTAAAACAAACCTAGCACTGACCCATCCCCCAAAGGGATGCACAAATGTATATATTTTCAACTGGAACCTGAATGAGAAAAGAGAGAGGGGCTACAGGATTTCCATGGGGAGAGAGGTCTAAACCACGAGTGGGAAGACACTTTCACATGTGGTTGCTCCACCAGCCATACTCACCAAGGGCACTTCAAAAAGACCCTTCTATACCTATCTCACATTAATGTCTGGTAAGTACTGGGAATGTGATCCTTCAGGTACTTGCATCTTGAGCTATTTAGGACTTTGTACACTAGTACTAACACCATGAATTGGACCAAGTAGTTCATTGGCAGCCAGTGTAGAGAGTTCAAAACTGGTGTGACAACCTCACCTCTCCCATCTCCACCAGCTACAGCCTCTGAACCATATTCTTTGGGAAATCACACATTTGCAGCTGTACAATAATCCAGTCTGGAAATTAATCAGGGTGTCTTGCTAGTTTATATCCATAGCTGACAAAAAAGCCATAAGCATTCTGTGATGCTCCTGGAACTGGTTGAAAGCTGATGAGTAAAAAATGTTTAACATTGTGATCAGTCTTTTTCCATTTCAAACTATGGGAAAACCTAGCCCATGCTGAATGTTTCAAATAGCCTTCTTCATTGTTTGAGTTCCATATCCCTGAGTGCAGACTACATCTGGCCTTTGACAGAACTTACATGTAATTGTGGAAACAGTACCTTGCTCTATTTGTTTTCCTTTGCAGCTTTAGTGGGACAAATGACCATATGCAGAAAATTATTAATATTATTAAGTGCTATATTGCTAACATTATTTTGTGCTGGGAGCATCACTACTCTCTTTTCCTGTCCAATTTGTAATGAAATGTATTATAAAATAATTCAGATTTTAATAAACATTACTGTTTATTACAGGAAGGGAAGCCATATTCCCAGACATGGTTTTCAAGAGCTCCTCATCAGAGGTAAATGGTTATTTATTCATATATTCGTTGGACAAGACCAACCTGAAATTCCCAAATCAGAAGGGAAAGCCACAGGATATTGGTTGCTACCAAGCTGTCCACCATTTCAAACAGCCCAGATAGACTTAGCAACAGGCCCCCTGGGCTGAAAATGCTACTGCTCTCCATGCCAGGTCAGTGAATGGAAGACATCTCTGATCCAGGACTTGATCCGGGATGAACATGCCAACCTGGCTTATATCATGGAGACCTAGTTGGATCAAGCTGCAATGGATGGGGTGGGGTGGTCAATCTCTTGCAGCTTTGTCCACCTGGGTTCTCTCTATAGCAACAGGTGAGGCCAGAGGGATGGGGAGGCAGAATTACAGTGATCTATCCAGATTCTATCTCCCTCACCAGGTGGGTGGCCAGGACAGAATAGGGATTCTGTTGGTGTACTGCCCACACCACTAAGCAACAGTCTCCTTTCCTGGGTTGGCTGACTGGGTCCTGGTGGAGGTGTTGGAGTCCCCGCAGCTTCTTGTACTGGAGCTCTTCAATGTCCATGAGGAGATTCTTCTGTCAGGAGCAGCTCTGTACTTCATGTCTGACATGATGACCATGCGTCCCAAGTAATATCTGATGCCATCAATGTTACAGGACACACTTTGGACCTTGTTTTCTGTTCTAGGCAGGATGACTGTGATCTGGTGTGGAGGAACTTTCTGTAGTTCTGTTGTCATACACTGATCACTATCTGGTAGGATTTAGATTCACTGGGACTCAGAGCCTCATTAGAGATGGGGGTGGGGGTTGATTAAGATGGTCTGCCCTAGGAGACTTAGGAATTCCTGATGGCTCTTGATGAGTTTTCTGTTACCTTTAAGATGATCCTGTTGAAACCCTGGCTGATCTCTAGAATAGGAAAATGGTCAGGGCAGTGGACAAAATCACTCCATAACATCCCCTCCTACAAAGATGAGCCAAGTGATGAAACAAGTGGGCCAGAGTGGGAGAGGAGACTAGTGAAGCAATGGCAGAAGACTCAGAGCAAGTCCAACTGAATATGAGCTAGAGCTCATTGGTAAGGGTAAGGGTGAATGTCTCACTGCAGCAAGGAAGGTGCCCTGTCTAAAGGTGACTGTGGTGAGGCCGTTACTGAAAAAGGCCTCCCTGGATCCCACCATTCTGAAGATCTATCAGCCAGTCTCTAATATTCCATTCTGGGCAATAGTGAGTACATTTCTGTACTGCTTACCAGTGAACTAGCACTCTCTAAGTGGTTTACAATGTGTAAACTGATTGTCTCCAACAAGCTGGGAATTCATTTTATCAACCTACAAAAGGATTGAAGGCCAAGTGGACCTTGGAGCCCTCCAGGATCGAACTTGCAATGCTGTGGCTGCAGGACCAGCGTTTAACCACTGTGCCACCAAGGCTCTTGGACAAGGTTCTGGAATAAGTGATGCCCTCCCAGCTTCAGGGGTTTTTGGATGAATTGAATTGTCTGAATCCATTTCAGTCTGGCCTCAGGCCTGGCTATAGGATGGAAACAGCTTTGGTCGTCTAGGAGGGAACTGGACAGGGGGAATGTGTCCCTGTTGGTCCTGTTGAACCTCTTGGTGGCTTTCAATGCCATTGATCTTGGTATCCTTCTGGGCTGACACTCTAAGATCAGGCTTGGGGGCACTGTTATGCAGTGCTTCTGTTTTTTCTTGGAGGGGTGAACTCAGAAGGTGGTGTTAGAGGAGTTCTCTTCAAGTCCCTTGCATTTGGCCTGTGGAGTCCCATGTTTCTGTTTTGTCCCCATGTTATTTAACATCTACATGAAACCACTGGGAGAGCTCATCTGGTGTTTTGGGGTGCAGTGTCACCAGTATATGGATGATGACCAACTCTGTCTCCTCTTCCCATCTAATTCCAGGGAAGCTATGTTGGAAATGAATGAATTGCTGTCAGTAATGGATTGGATGAGGGTAAACAAATTGAAACAAGACAGAAGTGCTCTTGGTCAATTATAAGGCAATTAGGGAGTAGGGACTTTGCCTGTGTTGGATGGGGTTACGCTCCCCCTGAAATCTCAGGCTCACAACTTGGGTGTTCTCCTGGACTCAACTCTGAGCCTGGAGTGCATTTGCACAGTTAAAACTAGTGTGCCAGCTGCATCTGTTCCTTGAGACATCAGATGTGGCTATGGTGACACGTGCCTTGAAGACATCCCATTTTGAATGCTGTAATGCACTCTACGTGGAACCACTTTTGGAAACTGTTCAGAAACTTCAGCATGTTCAAAATGCAGATGCCAGAATGCTGACCAGGCCAATTACAGGAAGCATACAACTCCATTATTCAAACAGCTTCATTGGCTACCAGTTCATTTCTGGGCACAATTCACAGTGCTGGTCATGACCTATAAAGCTCTATATGACTTACGTCCAGACTATCTGAAAGACCATATCTCCCCATAGGAACCTACAAGGGTCTTAAGATCAACGGGGGAAGGCTTGTCTTGGTCCCACCACCATTGGGCTTGCTTGGCGAGGACACAAGAGAGAGCCTTCTGGAATGGGAGGTTAGGCTGGGCCCCTCCCTGCTTGCTGTTTGCTGTAGGCAAAGACACATTTATTCAAGCAGGCTTTTAATATATAATTGTGTCAGGGTGCCTTTTCCAGTCTTCCTTCAATATCTGTGGGGATCCGTTCTGGATTCCCCCACACCCCGATACCAAAATCCACAGATGCTCAAGTCTGCATTGTCCTCAGTGGCGGTGCAGCCACACGGCCACACCACCATTGGGGACAATAGGACTCTTCCTTCCTTCCTTCCTTCCTTCCTTCCTTCCTTCCTTCCTTCCTTCCTTCCTTCCTTCCTTCCTTCCTTCCTTCCTTCCCTCCCTCCCTCCTGGCTTTCACCAGTGACAGAAGGTGGGTGGCGGGTGGCTGCCTCCTTCTCCACCGCTGCTTGCTCTTCCTCCTGCCTCCTCCTCTACTATCTCTTCCTCTTTTCCTTGCACTGCTTCTTCCTCCTCTTCTTCTTCCTTCTTCTCCACTGCTGCATCATCATGGGCTTGCCATCCACAGATGCTTGAATCTGTGAATGGCAAGTCTGTGGATACGGACTTGGCAAGTCCACAGAAGGTGCCCTCCCTTCTTTTGGTGATATCCAGTCTTCTATAGAAAGTTTACCCTATGGCTAGTGAAACATAGGGGAGCCTCCGTGGTGTAGTGGTTTGAGCACTGGACTGCAACTCTGGAGATAAGAGTTCAATTCTCAGCTCAGCCATGAAAGCTAAATCAGGGGAAGGGCAATGGCAAACCTCCTCTGTACAAATTTTGCCAAGAAACTGCATGATAGGTTCGCCTTAGAATTGCCAAAAGTCGGAAATGATTTGAAGGTACACAACACACACACAGTGAAACATACTGGATGAGATCGGTGTGAAAGCATTTTTTAACATGTTTATTATTATCGTTGACCACATTGCTTTCACACTATGTATCCATTTCCTTTTCCAGCAAAGGATATACCATATCTTTACATTTCTAAAATGACCAATCAAAGTCTTCAGAAAATGTGCTACATACATGAAGTTCTGTCTCCAAATTGACAAGACAGCAGTTGAGATTCCACCTCAACATTAGCAGGAAGAACTTCCTGACAGTGAGAGCTGTTTGACAGTGGAACACACTCCCTCCGAGAGTGAAGGAGTCTCCTTCTTTGGAGGTTTTTAAGGAGAGGCTGGAGGGACATCTGTTGGAGGTGCTTTGATGGTGTCTTCCTGCATGACAGGGGGGTTGGACTGGATGGCCCTTGAGGTCTCTTCCAACTCTAGGATTCTATGATTCTATTGTGCACCTTTCTGTAGTGAAACTGCAGTCCACAGCACCTCAGAATTCCCCACTGAGTCATTTTAAGAGACTTTTGTTTGCAAAGAGTTAAATGCCTGCTTTTCCCCCATTGAGTTCTCCTAGTGGTGCACAGCTTCATGCCATGTAGAGCGGTATCATACTTGTCATCAAGCTGGAATGCATCATAGGCGACAACCGACCAATCAGAGCTCAGGCTGAGGGTTTATATAGAGAAGAATTTCCTCTGCAGAACAGGCAGAAAGTGAGCAGTGTTCAAATAGCTAAAGAACCAAGGGAACTGAGTCTTGTGTTGCTGCCGCTGCCGCTACTACTGTTGCTGTAACTGCACAGAATACAGAACACTTTTGGCACTGTTGTTCAATTGGTAAGTGTTAGACCTTTAAATCTTAATTACATTAAACATTAAACTTGCCCAAGGGCATTTTTGAAAGAGTCCATTTAGTCAGTGACTGCAAAAGCTAAAAGACTTCATTCTGCTTTCAATCATCTCAAAGCAATTTTAGTCCTTTGCAGTACTATTAATATCTCTTTCTAAGATGCTTGGCTGTATCTGTATAAGAACCTGACAAAATCTAGAGTTTTCCCCCTTAAACAAATAAATTTGGGCATTATAGAATAATAGTATGGTCCATCCTTTGTGACTTGCAGATAACTGCATTATGCTGTATAAAGGTGCTATAAAATAAAAGTGCCTTAAGCAATGCACAACCATTGGGCGGTATATAAATAAATTTTATTATTATTTATATACTGCAACCATTGGGCGGTATAAATAATAATAATAATAATAATAATAATAATAATAATAATAATAATAATAATAATAATAATTTCAAGTCGCCTGTCGACTTATGGCAACCCCATGGATTTCCTTGGGATTTCTTAGGCAGGGAATACTTAGAGATGGTGCCTGAAGCAATATGTGTGCATCTTATTATTTATAGAAGAAATATGCAGGTGCTTGAGATATGAATTCAGATGTTATAGTGCAAGTGTAAATGCTGGGAGTTCAACAGTACACTATAATGTTTCACTGGTATCTTTTTTGAACTTCTGAATTTTTAAAATACTTTTTGGCTTTTTAATAATTTTGTTTGGTTAAATCTTTTCCTATTTCAAAGTATTATATTCTATTGTGATCTTGACCCTGTTTTTAGAGATCAGAAAACAGTTAGGTTGAAGGAAAGATTGCTTTTTATTTACATCCCTATTATTTTAAGTTGCTGTGTGCCTTCAAGTTGTTTCCAACTTAGGGTGATCCTAAGGCGAACCTAGCATAGTTGTTTTTGGTTTTTTGCAAGATTTGTTCAGAGGAGATTTACCATTGCCTTCCCCTGAGGCTGAGAGCATGTGACTTGCCCAAGGTCCCCAATGAATTTCATGACCGAGTGGGGAATTGAACCCTGGTCTCCAGGGTCCTAGTCCTACACTCAAACCACTATACCATACTGGCTCTATTTTAACTTTAAGTGGAGTTCTTTTAATATGGAATATATTGTGTCTATTCATCACTATTTTAATTATTAACTGTGCATGAAGGCACCAAAGCTGTTTTCTTTCTTTCCTTCTGCATTTTGCTGCTTCTTTGTCAATGGGGTCCAGTTTAGTGAGCTAAGTGCTCTTGCATGCAAGCCAAGACACAAAGGAAAGGGAAAAAACAACACCCTACATCAAGCTTGGAGTGACAGTCTGTGAGCTCTGCCTTTTAAATTTCACGGCATTTTGCAGCTTTTTAAAAATTTGAACTTGGATTTCAGAAGCACTTCAGTCTTGTACGCCAATTCAGACCAGCAAGGTGGTGGCGGCGGCAATGGTTTGATATTTCTTTATGGTAGTACTAGGTAGATTGGGTTTAATGTGTATTGGAGCACACATGCAACCTGCCAGCATCTGCATTGCAGGCAGAATCAAAGCCTGGATTGACATTTCTGGGAAATAGGAAATCTATAGGATGCCATGGCCATTAAAGTAGGATCTACTGATTATAAATGAGTAATGTGAAAGGGCACCTGCTGGTTGCACACTGCCTCAGCTGCATTCAAAGAGGAGCCGCTCCTCATGATTCAGTTGAAACAGGATCCAACAAAGGGGCATGGCATGGGGACTGTTATAGTAAAAGCAATGAGAAATCTGCCGTTTCCACTTCTCAAGCATGTGGCCAGTTGCAGAGACCTAGCCAGTTTCTGCCAAGAAGGGCTTCATAGGAATAAAATGACAGATTGAAATCAGGCTGAGAGAAAGGCTCCCTAAAATATTAGTAGCCAAGTGGACTGGAACTTACCTGGCAAAGCCAGAGGGAAAAAGCAACCAACAGGATAATGACCATCTGAATAAGCCCCACAAATCTCCACAGACAAAACAAGCCTTGATATCACATCTTGCCAGCCAGAACAGGATGTAGTCATGAAGTTATTTTGGATTCCTAGCAATTCTGCTCTCCTAACGTAATGGTGTTGCAGCTGGATTCTATGCATGTTTATGTTTAATGGGAAGTTTGCACTATAATGTTAAGTGGGATTTATTTGCAAATTCAGTATGCATAGAATTGTGGCCTTAAGCTGTAGTCTTAAGCATAATATTTCATTTTTTAAAGTAAAATATTTATATCAAAAAAATTACAGGGTGGGGCTCAGACAGCAAAACAATTTAAAATAATCTAAGACTTTTGAAGATTATTCAGGATGACATAAAATAGTTTAAAATAGTTTAAAATTATTTTAAAATATATATTAGTGTATATCAAGACCTGTATCCTTGTCAGACCATGTGCCTTAGGCCCCAGAACCTTTGGTAAGGAGCCAAGTATTAACTAGGCATCAAAATGCCACCAGCACCATCACCAATTCCTTCTCTATGGGAAGGGCTTTCTATAGCCTGGGTACCATTGCAACATCCTGGTACCAGTTTAACACCTGTACAGCCTCACCTGAGTCTGATGACAAGTAGAAATAAAGTTTGGTGACATCAGCATGTTGACGGCACTCATTTTCAATGCTCCTGATGAATTTCCACAGTAATTTCATATAGATACTAAAACAGTACAGAGGATAGAATGACACCTATGCAAGTGCATACCAGGGAATGAACTGCATTGAAGTCAGTAGGATTTACTTGTGAATAAACATGGTCCATCCCTTAACCTAAACACTTGAATTAATCAAAGCCCTCTGCAATGACCTCCAACTGTTGACTGGTGTGTAGACTAGGCATTGCCATAGAAAACAGCAGAAATACCTTTAACACAGTGTGAGAGTAATCCATTTTCACAAAAGTAACAGTGAATAGAATAGCAGGAGTGACAAACCTCTGTATATATACTACTCCATTCTGTTTTTCTATTTAAGTAACTTTGCATATATTACAAAGTGAGGATGAATAGTTTGGAACTGATCTCCAAGCCTCCATGAGCCTTTTCTTACACTTATCCTCACTTTCAACAAAAGGCTGCCTAAATCAGGATCAGGTTAGTTTAGCATGTCAACCTAATTTGGCAACAGAAACACGATATGCCCATTTGTTTCACAATACCTTGCTGAAACATTGCTCTTTGTCGCTACATGCAGAAATGAAATAACCCCAGGCGTTATAAAGATTTGTTCATCACTTTCCGAAGTTTAAGTATTAGCTTGCAATGAGCAGCTTTGTATTCAGTGTGTAAACACATTTTGTAACAAAACATCTCTGCCATGTAAGTTTCAAACACACATAGACTTTTAAGTATATTTACATTATTTACCTTTGTAATCAAATTAACAAATTGCTAATCACCAAGAATTACAAAATGGTTTAAGAGATCATAACATGCTTGCAAGTATTTCCTTATATCCATCACATTCTTTTACATGCCTCCTCAGAACTAAATCCCAGGGGCCAGAATATTAGCACTATTGTTCCATTTTAACTGCCATGGTTCCATCCTATGGAATCCTGGGGTTTGTAGTTTGGTGAGGCACTAAAGTGCGCTGGCACTAAACTGACAATCCCAGAATTCCATAGGAAAGAATCATGAAGCTTAAGTGGAATGACAGTGCTATAATTCTGTATTGTGAATGAGACCCAAGTGAGTTCCACCAAATGATGACAGAGCATACTATGAGATGAAAAAGTGCCTCACTGTACATTTATTTTAGCCTATTGTTACCTATGTTGAGCAGGTTTTGCAGATTTTTGAACCTTGAAAATCTGCTTGTGGAAACTGCTGGCAACAATGATGTCATTTTTCTGGAAAAACTGAACATCTATCTCCAGTTCTAATTATTATGCCCATCATCTAATGATTATCTCCATAATGTGGCCATGCTTGTAGGCCAGTAGTGCCTAGTGAGTTCGTCACTAGGCTTACCATGGCAAGTTGGAAGGAAGACATCATGAAGGAATAAGGCAGCTCTTGGGATTGCCAAGTGGGTTTGGGACCAACAGACTTTCTGTTGATGGTCTTCATCAATTAAAAGATTGAGATCCACTGCCTAGTTCACGTTAAAGTTCAGAATGGATATGAAAGAGAAAAGCAGCTTTGCTTGTTAGCACATCACTCACAAACGGCAAGGATATTCAAGTTATGAAATGGAGAGAAACAATATAGCCCAGTTGTTGCCCCACATTACAAGCATGAACTTTTTCCTCCTTTTTTAGAAACCAACAGAAAAGAAGAACCAAAGAACTGAAGAAAACCACTGAAAATAGGAACCTCTTAGCCAACACAATGAAGTTACTCATCATCATCTCTGTAATGCTGAGTGTTCTTGTCCCAGTCGGAGCATCAGTAAGTTTTGCAACTAGTGGGTACTCCATCTGACAGCTGCTTGAGCTGATTTCCATTTTTGACCATAAATGCAAAGCTTCCCCTTTTTCCCCTTGGTCCAAACCTATTTTTAACCCCCTTTGCCTTTTGGTTTGTTTGTTTACTGCTTGTACACATAACATTCTCTGATATGACACTGTCTTAGCACTTGCCATAACCAGCCAAATCTTTTGGTAGATTTATTTGACAGCAATTTGTTGATTTGTGAATTTCATTCTTCTTGGACTCTGCATCTCCTAGTCATGTGTGCTCTTTCTTCCTGACCATTCTTTCTCTGTTTTCCCCTCACATATGATTTCTTCCTCTAAAATTCTTCTGTTCCTTTCACTGCTCTTGAGCATGTCTTCTAGTTCTAATTTTTCTAGTTCTCTTTCCTCCTCTCACCTTTTCAAGCCCTTGATTCTTCTAGGCCATTTGTCTGTCCCTCCTTATAATCATCAATCGAAGTTAACCAGGTATAGAAGGGACCACCATCTCTCATTTATTGCATGGAAAAATCAAATGGAGGGAATGTGTTTGAAAAACTTCTGCTACACCGTCTCAATATTTCCTTTAGAATAATTTGTGTTCTGTTATTGTTCTCTCTTAGTCTCACCATTGGCTGACACAACACAAGCGAGGAAGCAAAACAAAATATGAACACAAAGGTAAAGAAATCTTTCCAGTTTTTTCTTGCCAACTGAAAATTCCTCTTTGACCAAGTGCCAAACTGCTTGCTGTTACTTGCTGGTTTGATGGGGCCACTAGATTTTGTTATTTGTTATTTGCATGTAACATGAGATTTGGTGTACAAAGTGAATGTTGTATAACACATATCACATGACTTTGAATTTTATATAAAGTGCTTATTTTCCTTTCTTGGAATGTCTTGTTTACAGGTTGCAACTGTTTTAATGGAGGAACATGCATCACCTACTACCTCTTTTCTCGAATGAAACGTTGCTTATGCCCTGAAGGATATATCGGAGATCACTGTGAAATAGGTATGATTTTGCTCTTGTTATGTGCCTCCAAGTTGACTCTGGGATTTCTTGGCCAGACTTATTCAGAGTAGGTTTGCCATTGCCTTCCTCTTAGACTGAGAGAGGGTGACAAGACCAGGGTTACCTGGTGGGTTTCCATGTTTGAGTAGGAATTTGAACCCTGGTCTCTGTGACTCCTTGTCCAAAGCTGAAATTACTATCCCATCTATATGTATGACAGAGGGCAAGCAAATGAATACAACCCAGTATAAATTAATTGTGAATAAAATTCCGTCCTATCTGAGATAGAGAGATCCCATAGCTCCTCCATCTGAGCTAGCATTTTCTGCCACTTATGACCTGTCAAAAGAGGTTTTGTTACACACATATAACTGTTGCCATATCACTATGTCTTGCTATAAATTCAAAGCAAAAAAGGCTGAACTAGGACAATAGGTATGGCAATGACTGTATAGAAATGCAGGGAACTTTAACAATGGGAACTTAAAGAACACTAACTGGCTCTCCCATTTCCAAAACAGACAGGGTCTTTTATGCCAATATTTCAAAACAAATAAAGACTGTGAAGTGTGTATGTGATAAAAGTTTGTATTGGCTCTGTGAAATAATGTTTGGTTACACCTATGGGATTTCCCTCTTGGTATTAAAGATATAAGAATCCTCAGGACCCCTTTTGCTTCTGCTCACCTAAAGACAATAAAGGGGTGCTCAGTTTCATCTTGTTTTGCTCCCTCAGATATTTAATGGTGGACATAACATCGGTCTTGCATCATGGGCATTCCCATTTCTCTCCACCATGACTACATACAGATGAATGTATGGATCCTCCAACTTGGATCATAATATCCTAATACGGAAGCATTTTAAAGATTTAAGCCTTCTTGCACAACAGCAACAAATCAGTATACCCTCTCAAGTGAGAGGGATTCCCCTAACTGAGTGAAAATTATTTTTGCTATATCTTTCTGCAAACTCAGAGCTGCCATTATTTTCCCCTACTGCTTCACATTCTTGATGTGTGCATTGGTGATTTAAAAAAATAATTTGTATTGCCATTTAAGGAATTTGTTAGTTGTAATAAACCTTATTATTGATTCAGTTGAACTGTATATGTTCAACATGACTAACTAGACTTTGACATTTTATGATCATGTATTAAATATCTGTATGTAAGCTACTTTGGATGTTGACAGATGGCACAGAAAATGGCAAGTATGGTTGACACAGAGGGTAATAAATGACTAGTTGGCAATCAGCACTGACAATCATCTTGTTTGTCCTTCAGATACTGAAAGTCACTGTTATACTGACAATGGGGAAGACTACAGAGGGACTGTGTCAGTGAATGAAAATAATGAAAGATGCCTGGATTGGAATTCCCCCATGCTACGAAGATGGCCTTACAATGAAGCCAGGCAGGATGCCATGGAGCTTGGATTAGGAAAACACAACTTCTGCAGGTAAATGAAATGCCACAAAGTATAAAAATGCCACACCACTTATGGTCAACACAATCTCTATCCTCTCTGAAGATGCCATATCCTTTTGTGAGTGGAATTTGGCACATTCTTCAAAAATATTAGCTATGATATATATTCTGAATATCTGGGTCTTCATTTAAACTGCTAGGGATTAATTTCTTCTTTCTTTATTGAGACTAATAAGGATTTGTTATGGTGCTTTGTACCTGTGTAACCAGGTACAAAGAGCAATGATATCCCTGACACTGAGTAGAAGAGGGAACATTAGCTGAGATACTTTGCTTGACCTACTGAAATTCCTCTTTTGGGCATTATTAGAAGTACGGGAATCCTATGCTCCCTTGAAAATAGCTACTCTAGGTGCTTTGTAGAATGAACACCCTGAAATGCTTTAATAAGCATTGGCCAGCATTCTGTATCAGATACTTAGTTAGATATAATTCAAAGATATAGCCGTGTTCGTCTGTAGAATCAGTATGTAGAGAGATCTTGTAGCACCTTTGAGACTAATTGAAAGAAAGAAGTTGACAGCATGAGCTTTCATAGATTTCAGTCTACTTCCCAGATGCATTTGGAGTATAAACAGATGCATTCGTTAGGTATACTTAATATAACTACTTAACTTAATTAAGTGCACATAACTAAGGAATTGACCTCCTTCTCCCCATGTGGCTAAGCAGTGATTGTGAATAAGGAACAGTTCCCAACCTACTTTATCAGACATTAGCTGGACAGGGAGAAGTAGGTCCATTCTGCAGGCAATCACAATGCAGATGAATGATATTTCCATCACATCTGCATGTGGAGGGATCAGGGCAGGAGAGATTATTTAGTTAAGTATACTTAATTAGAGAGTCAGCATGGTGTAGTGGTATAAGCACTGGACTATGACTCTGGAGATCAGGGTTTGATTCCCTGCTTGGCCATGGAAACCCACTGGGTGACCTTGGGTGACTCATGGACACTCAACCCCAGAAAATCCTGTCACTGGAAATGAATTGAAGGCACACAACAACAGCAACATATTTGACTAAGTAGCTGATACAGAATATTGGCCATTATTCATAACAGATTTGTCTGTATCAAGAAAATGTAGACCTGTGGCATCTTAGAGAATAACAAATGTATTGTACCACAGACTTTCATGAATACATTGTGTGGTTTTATTTCATCAGGTAGAAGTAAATATGTATGTGATATAAAGATTATGGTGGAAAGAGTGAAGGACGAGTTCTAAAGGGTGAAGGAGTTCAGTATAGACGCAACAGGCAATGATAATTACTGTAACAACAGTTAATTGCAAACTGTGGTTAGGTGATAATATAGACATCAACTGATTAGCATATATATTATGATTTTTTTAAAAAAACTTGCCATTGTCAAAACCACACAAAATTGGGTTGAATATCTCTTGATGAATTTATTCCAACTAGTTTGCATTGCTATCTGTGGGTAAAGTCTAGTTCTGCCATTTGTAAATTTGAAGAGTCTTTGCCAACTACTACAGGTGGTTTCTGATATTACTGAAGATCAGTCTCTCTGAAGGCAATGTTCTGTTTTCCAGAAATCCAGATGGCAGGTCCAAACCATGGTGTTATGTTAGGAAAGGATATCGAACCTCTGAGACACCCTGTGATATACCTATGTGCATAGAAAGTAAGTTTTTACCTTTGTGGAGTGTCAGATACTGTGAATCTCAAAATCAAGGTAACTTAATTTACAGGGAATCAAAATTTTGCTCCAAAACCCCCAGAAAATTCTGTGCTCTGAGGGCTAATTTTACAACCATGTACCTAACGCACAAACTGTATTCTCACTGCACTGTAGAGGAACGGGGGAAGCAAGGACTGGTAAGGGACAATTTGAAAATCAGCATTGTGAAGAGCATTACAGGATAAAGTCTAATATGATCCAGGCTGTGCTGAAAATTTGACTATAAATATTGTCATCATGAAGATAACCATTGCAGGGGAGCCAAAATATTATTAGGGGTGAGGAAGAACTGTGCCCATGTTGTTCCCAACCTATTCTTTCTCCAAATGGCTTCTGGTTCTGCACCATTTTTTTCAGTAGCAAATTAAGTTACTTCATGCTGAAACACTTGAAAACCCTTTTGAGGGAGCCCCCACCCCCAAATTTCTGATCCGGGGCATTTTTCGCAGAATGCAAAAGCGTTTTCACAACATGCCAAAGAGAAACCTTCTCATTTCAGCTCAAGCCTAAATCTGATCCACAGTAAGCTCATATGCAACTGGGTAAAATAAAGGAGCCTATGGCCAGAATGCAATGGCAAACCTCCTCTGAATGAATCTTGCCAAGAAAACCCCATGATAGGGTCTCCATAAGTCTTAGGGTCACCATAAGTCTGAAAGAACCACACAGCAACAAGAAAAAATAGCCAGAATCCTGTTGGTTAACCCCAACTTTAGTAGATCCACTGAACCAAATGTTTAATAGTGGGTCAAAACATAGACAAATTCAGTTCTTTTACTGCGTTGCCTCAAGTAGGATCTATCAACAGGACTGAGGCCTATGTTAGGCAGGGCTGAGATTCAGGCCAGCCAGAAGTCCTGAGGTCTGATTAAGACAACGATTATGTATGCTTAGAGATGCTTAATTCTTCATGAATAGTAGCATCACACTATCATTGTCATACTAAACATGTTCAGGATAAAAGCATCACAGTTCTAGGCATGTTTCCTCAGAACTAAATTCCAGGGGCCATTCGCCCTACAAAAAAATTATAGTGCTATAAGTCCATTTTAACTACCATGGTTCCATCCTGTGGAATCCTGGGGTTTATAGTTTGTTGAGGCACTGGAGAGCTCTGCCTTTGAATTCTAAATCTGTTGTTGCTTTGTGCCTTCAAGACATTCTGACTTATGGAGAACCTCAGGTGAACTCTCATGTGGCTTTCCTGTCAAGATTTGTTCAGAGAGGGTTTGCCTTTGACTTCCCTTGAGACTGAGAAAGTATGACTTGCCCAAAGTGACCTAGTGAGTTTCAATGGCTGATCAGGGATTCAAACCTAGGTGTCCAGAGTCATAGTCCAACACTTAAACCACTATACCACCTGGTTCTCCCCCTAGTCAGACACTGGACAATTTTTTTTAAAAAAAACAACCCATGTACGCATATACATAGAATTTAGAACCCAATTTGTCAGTGGAATCAAACATGATAAAATGAAGAAATATTATCCTGATATTTGACAATATTTGGAGAGGATCCTAGATAATTCCCTCTCCTGGTTGGCATGCGTAGGTTTGCTTTAAAAATACAGTCCTTTGCTGTGCAAAGTGATACAATTCCAGAAATAGTTTTCTATGTGCTCGTGCTGAATGTGTTGATCAGCTGAAATCTTAGCTCATTAATATATAATATAAGCCATCTCTGAAAATGGGCAGTTTCAGAGGGATGTTGTACTGCTTGGAACCTAGTTTATATTGTGAAGAAATAGCAGGGAGGAACTATCTGTTGTACTGTTATGTTCTTTGTTGGGTAAAAACATTGGGACTTTTTCTGTCTTTCACAGAGTCAACATGCGGCCAGAGGAGCCTTGGCAGGACCTTTAAGATAGTGGGTGGGCGTAAGGCAACCATTGAGTCTCAGCCTTGGATAGCAACCATCTTCCAAGCCACTAAGAAAGAGGGTTTAGAGAATTTCATTTGTGGTGGTAGTCTCATCGATCCATGCTGGGTCCTTACAGCAGCACATTGTTTTGAAAGGAGGTAAGTACTATATTATCAACTTTCTTCATTTCTAGGTGGAGGTTCTTTAGTCAACATCCAGCGTAGTAGAAGTAGATCCAAATAAATGTTCATTTTGATTAGCACACAACCCATATGATTATGATCATATTCTGGGATTTTCAGGCTTTGGGGCTGTTGGACATTTGAAATTTTGAGAAATGTCACAGGTGCTGTTATAAAATGGCTGTCATAGGGGATGTCAATTTTCAAAATGGCTCTGTGGCAAGCATGGCCAGTCGCATTCCATAAGAGGCAACCGGGATCCACACTACAGAATTATAGTGCTATGATTCCCCTTTAATTGAAAAGGTTCCATCCTATGGAATCCTGGGATTTGCAGTTTAGGGAGTGATATACAGATTTCTCAGCCAGAGAATTCCCCCAGAGCATCCCCAAACAGCAAACACCAAGATTCTATAGGATGGAACTATAGCCATTAGTGGAATCATAGCACTTTAATTGTGTAGTGTGAATGGGCCCCTGATGACGCTAAAAGGCAAGTATCTTGTCCAAGATCCTGAGTATAAGGTTCTCCTGAACATAACATAATTCTCCCAAGTAAATCTGAGAGATAGCCAGCATGGTGTAATAGTGTGAGCATTGGACTATGACTCTGGAGACCAGGGATCAAATCCTTGCTCAACCATGGAAACCAACTGAGTGACCTTGGGCAAGTCACAATCTCTCAGTCTCAGAGGAAGGCAAAGGCAACCCCCTCTGAACAAATCTTGCCAAGGAAACCCCATGATAAGTTCACCATAGGTTCACTATAAGTCAGAAATGACTTGAAGGCATACAACAACAAAAACCTGACCAGAAACCAATTTTATGGACAAGCAAACCAGCGGAATTAAATAACAAATTATAATTGGCCCTCTGTTTTTGCAGAGGATCCATTCCAGACCTTCACACACACCACAAAAACAGAGACTCACCAATATTCAAGCTCTATAGGCTTGAATGGGGTGTGCCCCATTGATTTTAACTGAGGCCATCAACCCCCCCGTGAATATTCAAAACCGAGGACCTTACCTCTGCGAGAATGGAGGGGTGACTGTACATGCCCAAGACCCTGGTTTCATGATAGAGGTGTAGGTCTGAGCCCTAAAATATAAACCCATTTGCTTGAACTCACAATTCTCTCTGTCATCCAATATTGTATTCTCTCTCCTGGTCTTACTTTCTCTCTGTTACACACACACACACACACACAAATGAGGGATGCAGGGAATCAATTGATCTGGAGAGTTTTACAACTTAGAATCACATTTTGCATGGATATATTGCTACTTTTAGAATCACGTTTTGTGTGGATATATTTCTACTTAAATGTTTTTAAATATATTTATGGGTTTTATATGGAGATTAGCTACAATGACTGGTACATGCACCTAATGTATCCCCTTTTCTTTCCTAATAAAGTGTTATGAAGTCCAAATAAGAAAAAGTCAAACATATTATAAATTATGCATATTAATAAAGCTACAGAATTAAGGAGAGAATGGTGAACGTGGCCCTAAGAGAGCAATAAATGCAATTGCAAAAAAAGTTTCATAGACATTTTCCTGGAATCCATGGTTTGATTTTTATTTTATTTTCCCCCTTTCTTTTCAGCATTGATATATCCAAGTTAACTGTTTTTCTCGGAAAGTCTGCAGTGAATGTTACTGATGTAGAGGAGCAAAGATTTGATGTTGATAGGCTTATCATTCATGAAAGATTTTCAGAACGAAGAATGGACTATGATAATGACATTGGTAAGATGACATATGAATTTTTTGCTAGAAAGTTGTTGGCATTGCAAAATAAGAGTACACTTAAATGGGAAAATGCCTACAATAGATCATTTTGCATTGCTCTTGTGTGCCTTCAATACATTTCCAACTTATGACAACTCTAAGGTGAACCCGGGAGTCAGCATGGCATAGTGGATGGAGCATTAGATTATGATTCTGGAGACCAAGGTTCAAATTCCTGCTTAGCCATGAAAACCCAGGACAACTCACCTTGGGCAATTCACACACTCTCCATCTGTGATAGGGTACCTTAAATTCACCATACATCTGAAATTACTTACAGACAAGAACAACAACAAAGCAAAACTAACATGTTTTCTTGGCAAGACTTGTTTGGAAGAGATTTGCCATTGTCGTCTTCTGAGGCTGAGAAGGTGTGACCTGCCCAAGATCACCTAGTGGGTTTCTATGGCTCAGTGGGAGTTCAAATCTTGGCCTTCCAGAGTCCTAGTCTAATATCTAAACCACTATACCACTGGCTCTTTTTACATATTCTGATATACTTATTTTATTCACATCTTGGCATAAAAGAGTGTTGGAAAAGAGAGATGTGAAAGGGCTCCTCTTCTTTCTCTACACAAGTTCTGTGCATTCACTACAAATTTGAGGGAAAAGAGAAGTATTTTTTATCAAATTATTGTATGAATGATGGTGATTAATTTTATTTATAACCCACCTTTTCCCCAAAACTGGGATTTGAAAGGCAAGTTTGTTTTGAGAGACAGATAGGACAGTTTATCACATTTCTGGAAAGCGTTTGCATTTCCAGAAGCCACAGACTACCAATATATGTTCATGGAGACAGTGTTGGGACATAGATTTAGTAATTCAAAAAATTCTTCCTGGGTGATTTGGAGTACACTGTTATCTCTAGCCTTCAACAACTTGGTAGTGTACCTCATCTGCAACCAGGGTGATTCTACCATAGAAGAATGTGGGGACCAAAGTTGCACATTACAAAGTCAATTGATATTTTTATTATTATTAACAGTACTTTGGATCTAGGTTTAACTGCATTTTGAGTAGCTAGCATGGTGTAGTGGTTTGAGCGTTGGACTAAGAGTGTGAAGACCAGGGTTCTAATTTCTGCTGGCCATGGACACTCACTGAGTGACCTTAGGCAAGTCACATTCTCTCAGCCTCAGAGAGATAGAAAGATAAATCTTCCCAAGGAAACCCCATGATAGGGTCACCTTAGGGTCTCCATAAGTCAGGACAACTTGAAAGGCACACAACAACAACAAAGAGTACATCTATTCCACAACTAGTCACAACTAACTTAAGCTGTATTTGTTTCAACAGATCTATTCAAAGTGTAATTCTGAATCCAAACCATTTGAGCAGAGTACAATAAATGAAAGAGAGCCCTTTGCTGTCTTAATTTGTATTGAATCTTACCATCTAAATTATTGTTTGAGGAGAAAACCATAGGAATGTGGGCAACTGCAGCTATGTGAATAAAATATTTGCAATTGTCTGGAGAAGCAGTTGGAATACATATCTCTAAATATTTATTATTCTGGATTTAATCAGACCTAATGGTGGAAAACACTCTAAATAATGTGCATACTTTATTCTTCTTTAGCCCTAATAAGGATCAAATCATCCACCGGCCAATGTGCAGAAGAGTCACACGTTGTCAAAACCATCTGTTTGCCACCTCAAAACTTACGACTGGGTGAAAATTTTGAATGTGAAGTTTCTGGCTATGGAAAAGAAAACAAGAGTAAGTGGTTGCTTTTTTTATTCCTGTCTTTTCAAAACAATGCTACTTGTATGGTATATGTGAATGACACTCTCTGGAGATATGTTTTATATATGTTCTATATAGTAATATGTGTTATATATTCTGAGAATATGTAAGAAACTTGTCTGCTCTACTTTCTGTTCTATGCAAAGAAATGAATATTCTGTGTTTCGAATTAACTTTGGAAATTCAGTAATGTATTCGATGTGGTGTTGGCATGCTTGAAGGCATTCAGTAGAGCAGACTCAGAAATTCTTCCTCAGTTTTTATTCTATGAAGCAGACAGCAGCAGATTTCATTGAGAAGGGTCCTGTACAAATGTTGTGTCTTTTGTTTACAGCTGGCATCTTCTATTCAAGGATACTAAAATCAACTAATGTGAACTTGATATCTCAATCCAAGTGTCAGAAGTATTATCAAGGCCGCACAGTGAGTGGCAACATGCTCTGTGCTGGCGGTAAAGATTGGAAGACTGATTCATGCAGCGTAAGTTTCCTTATGTGTCATTTGGAATTGCATGGCTAATGCAATCCATGTGATCAAAATACTTCTCCCTAATGCATATGTAGACAGCCAGCATGGCATAGTGGTTTGAGTGTTGGACTATGACTCTGGAGACCAGAGTTCAAATCCCCGCTGAGCCAAGAAACCCAAGTCACACTCTCTCAGTCTCAGAAATTTGCCAAGAAAACCCCATGATAGGGTTGCCTGAGGGTCACCATAAGTCAGAAATGACTTGAAAGCATACAACAATAATGCATATATAGGATGCTTTATTGAATTTAATTCCATCCTCCCCCCACAATTGACTTGCAGCTGAGCTGTACATTTGTGCAGCAAGAAGCACAGGCTTATTCGGCTGGGTTGAGTCAGTTCTCTTGTGACTTAGCAGTGTGGGGATGATGGACTCCTTGATGTCAGTGTTGAAGCTGTTGTCACTGAGCCCCATTACTGTAGAAAAGGAATCACTGCCATATTTATTTATTAAAATATTTCTATCTTGTCTGCTATCATGAGAGCTCAAGGAATCATTCAATTAAAACAATATAAACAATTGAATACAATTCTAGATAAAAACAATAAATAATTTACACAGAATAAAAGAAAAGGCTGCTATAACAGCACTTAAAATAAACCAATGTTGGTGCTCATCAAGCCTACAAGTTGAGGGCATTCCATAAACAGGCCACAACATCATAGAAGGTCCTATCTCATGGATCATGTTAAAAATAACACCAGATTTTGCTAGATGTGTGACTTTCTTCTCTTTAAATGATTCTACCTCTTCAACTCACATCCAGCCCTTGACTTGGCCTCATTGTATACTGATGATAGTCTGGAAATACTAACCATCATTCCTATGTTTTGCCTTGTCAGGGAGATTCTGGTGGTCCCCTCATCTGTGAGTCCAATGGCAAGCTGATGCTATATGGTATAGTCAGCTGGGGCGATGGCTGTGCTGTAAAAGAGAAGCCAGGAGTCTACACAAGGGTCACAGAGTACCTTCCTTGGATTGAATCCCACATGAATGGAGTCCATTTCAAAAGCTACTACCCTCCTAAATGAGAATGGAGGCTTTCTTGAAGCATGGTGTTGACCAATATGCTTAAATCATGGGATCTGAGCCAAGTAATGTCACAGTGCATTGAAACGCCAAGTCTGGTCTTGGGGTTGATGCTTCTTGTTTAGAAGTGGCCTTTTCTAATTCTCATAGATTTAATGGTCACCACTCACACCATTTTGCCTGAAGCAGAATTCTACAACCATCACTGTGAACAACAGAAAGACTCTTCTGTGGAAAGCAGCGACAATATTTAAAATTTACATAAGAGGTATCTTTATAATCTACAGATTACAATATCACCAGGAATTAGTATTATACTACACCAGTAATTTATCTGATACAGTTTTAAAATGAGTTCACAATGTCCTAATGGTTGGTGCCATCCTGAAAAACAAAACTATCCATTGCACTCAATGGGACTTAAGGAAGCTGAATTGCCTTATTACTTTCTATGAGAGTTAAATGACCTCAGTTTTCTCTGGATTAAACTGTCAGTGGTCCTGAAAATCTGGAAACAGGTTTGAGGGCAAATAAAAGGAAAAATCCTGGGGGGAGGGAGTGGTTTCTGGGAGTCTGTCAGCCAGTACTTACTTAAATAAGAGTGAAACAAATATTTAGATATAAGGAGCCTTCTTGAAATAATTGACTATCTCATAATGTAAATTGTACTGACACTTTTTACTTCATATCCTTGAAACCAAAGCAGAAGGACTGTTCCAACATACATGAAATTAAGACTGGGAAACTGTGAGTTATCCAAAGAGCCAACCAAAGATATTTTGCCACCCCCAAGTGATTGTGCCATTATCATCTGAGAGATTTGCAGCTCTGCTAAGTTACCAAAGCATCATTTGCAAATTACATGCTGTTTCATTGGTGTTCCCAAGAACAGACCTTGAAAAAAATACTTTTTGGGATTAAATTTCCCCAAATTCCCCAGCTAGCATGTCCATTTTCAAAATTATGCCTATCACTCAAATGCTCATAGCTTGGATTGGTTTCACAACTGTCAAGCCAGTTCTGCTTGTCCAAGATAACTCAGTGAGTTCACAGGAAAGCAGGGGACTGAGCCTAAGATAAGGTCACTGAGCAGAAAGTCTCTTGATAAGGGCCACAATCCAAAAGGAAGTTCCCCAATGCAAACCCTACTGAAATGAATTAGAGTTGTGGTTCATGAATACGATTTTGACGCTCACTTGAAACATTAACCTGTTAAAACATTTCTGGCACTTTAATTTTGTTTTGAAGTTAATTTGGTACAACTGAAATGTTTGTTACCTGAAGAACATTTTAAATCACTGCAGGCTCTGGGTTATTATGGATTAAAAAAAAAAGCAGCAGCTTTCAAATGAACAAGTTTAGTTTCTAAAGGAAATATACATTCCAGGATTTTGTTAGCTCTGGCTTAGTGCAAGTACAAATCCACAGCAACTACTGAGACTTGGGGGAAGAATGGTATATTTTAATATGTTTAATTAATTAATATATGATATTCCACTCCCCCCCCCCAAAAAAAACCATCAATACATACCTTTATATTGGCATTAACAGAGTTTCTTTGAATCCCTGCTTTCTTACTTAAGGTCTGATCCTTGACTCTATGTAGAATAAAGACAAGTACTCTAGTCATCAAGATGTTGTTATATGAGGTACCTTAGTCCTATCATGCACTTAAAGAAACAGCTGATGTCCTAAAATACAAGTGTGTACAAGATATCATAAAGAATAGGGCTAGGCAACTTGGCACCCTCCAGAAAGTTTTGACAACAAATCCTATCAGGGCTAGTGAACATGGTTTATATCTGAGGATCATTTGAGCTGTAGCCCAAAACATCAGAAGTGATGTGATTAAAGTGATGTGAAACCAACACACTTTGGCAATAGAGCTACGACTATGGCTTCCTTGTCAGGTTCTCTCATTCTCAGGGGTGTCCCCCATTTGTTTCCATTTCTGAAAGCTTTTTCACTACCCTTTACAGACTTTGCAAAGTCTTACACTCTGAACTTTGAGAACATAGGGATGGATGGGCTTTAGCAAACATGGGTGCTCCCTTATAAATGAAGAACTTTTGTAATATATTGTTTATCAATTCAACTGTTTTCTAAGGCTCAAATACGAGATAGGTTTTTAAACATTGCTATTTTTTTTTAATTCAATGAACATATAATATATGTATGGGGGCTGGAACCCCTACTTTTATTTAATAATTTTACTGTATTTAAGTTATTCTTTGTAAATCTCAGGTTTTGAAAGCTAATAAAATCTCACTGTTATGTGGTGTTCCCATTTTTATTCCCTTTGATTTGAGGGTACTGTATGTCTTTTATTTATGGTTTGTCCTCCTTTTAGATAGTTTATCTATCTTATTCTGAAGCCATAGTTTCTATAATGTAAGGAAGTCTAAAGAGTCAAGAAAGACATCAATCCTCTTCAGCAATAGGCTGACCATTAGGCAGACTGAGATGGCTTTCTCTGGAGATAAGATGCTGAATGGTGTGGTGGTGGTCAACAGCATGAAAAAGATGTGGTTCCCCACCCTGTTTTTTAGCTTGAAGAACATATAAATTCACTAAGGTAGTTAAAATATATAACCTAGAATTATTCATTTGGGATTGGTTTGTATTTATGATTCCTACATATTCACTAGTTTAGGGAAAACATAGGGACCGTGAAAATTTCCCAGCTCCCAGCTACTAGGTGGCAGCCACTGCAATCAGCAGGGGTCTGTTCCCTGTCAATCAGGAAATAGCAGACTGACATTCCCATTCTCCCTTGCACTAGTGATCTCTGGTGCAAGGGAGAATTGCAACAAGGACACTGCTTCTGACTGTCGCACCGGAGATTGTTCATGGGAGGGGTGGGAAATGTCAGTTAGCTGCTTCCTAATGAACAAGGGGAACAGACTACTGTATCTCACTGCAGCTGCTGCTTGGTAAGAGGATATTGGAGAATCAGACCAGAAAATGCTACTTAGCTATGAAACAAACATGGTGATACAGAATCATAGCCACTATAATTAAGCTTAATCATATATTCAGAGGGAATTGATTGTGTCAATAGCATTCTACTGAGCCTTGGAAATATAGGCAGCAGCTGCATGTAGCCATTAGAAGAAATAGTCAGTCTGCTTGGTTTATATCAGGCTTGAGGTAGCTTTTATACTGTGATTGGCACCACCCTATCTGCTCACCAGCTAATATGCAACTAAAGACTGTACCTAAAGACAAATCCAGAAGTATAGATCACTAAATTCACTATTGGACCATCTGCCTATGACTTAGTTGGGCAGAGTACAAAGATGATCACTCAGCTGTGGGTTGCTGTACATGGTGTGAGCATATATTTGTTACTGAAAGTAGCAATGAACAGCTTATGAATAAACTGATAGATGTGATCTGGGGCATTCCTATTAAAACACTTTTGGAGGGAGAGCAAAATGTGGCAGATACTATAAGATTTGAACAATCAAGTGATGCCCTTTGATAGTTGAATAAATGTGTTTCAGATCTACAATCATATGTCAGATACTAAATCGTTTAATAAAGACTTTTTACACCTACCCAGCCCCCATTCCTCCTCATCCTCTATCTAGCTGGAGATGTTGTTGTTACAGTGTGCCTTAAAGTCCTTTCTGACTTATGACAATCCTAAGGTGAATCTATCATGGTGTTTTCTTGCCAAGATTTGTTTGGTGGGGGTTTGCCATTGCCTTCCTCTGAGACTGAAAGAGTAAGGACGTTATCACAGGGGGCAAATCTGATGGTTAATCCACACAAATCTCAAACAGAAACTGGATTTGTGCCCTGCATTTTCACACGACGTCGCACAGAAACTGGACAGAAAGTAGACAGAAACTGGTGTTAACCGAGATCTTTTGAAATTCGGTTGTTTGGAGGAAATGCAAATGTGAAATTAAGGTAATTTCGCATTTACCGTAATGTGAAAAGCAAATGCAAATTTGGGAGCATTTCCCTGCTTTTTCCATTGTTCCAGTGAGCATTCCTCTATCTGCGCATATCCAAGAAGCTCATTTCTAGTACATGTACAGGCTTTTCTCGCTTGTGTGTGAACGTTAAATG